AGGGGGGGGGCAATGGGAGAGACATCAGGGAAGGCAAGAGCTCCTTAAGTCCTATGTGCTTCGCACTAACACATCTTGGTTCTCCAACATCGGGTGGAATTTGGGGGCACATCTGCTTCTGTTCTCCATGCCTTTCATAGATGATTAGAAGGTGATATTTGGTGTATCTAAGACGCAGACTGAAGTGCAGATGTGTGTGTGATGTAGCACATGAGTACAGTCATGTCCAGACCAGAGGAACCAAGGGTTTTCAAACCACTCTTGACTCTATGTGACCAAGCTTATGCTCGGAGAACCACCTTTTTGGCCTTGTTGCTGTATGTCCCGATGAGCACAGAGCAATGTCCTGCCTTGAGAACCCGCAGAGCATCCCTGTGGTGAGCCTGGAAACACTGAAAGGCACCCCTCCCCTCCTGGTGCCCACACCCTATGGGAGCCCAGCTCCCTGGGGCTGGACAGCAGCTGTGTCCTTGGCTGGAGCTTCCAGAAGCAGTTTCAGTTACAAATCAAAGGCCTGGTCAGGCCCTTCTCTGCCTCTTCAGTTCATAAATACTGTCAGTTTCCTCTCTTCATCTCAAAGGGAATTTATGATTTGCTGAGTTTGTTGCTGTAGAACAAACAATATAAATCCGGCTTTAAATTACGGCTAGTTCACAGCGCTGCTCTGGGTAAGTGAGATTGCTGTTGCCAATAACCACGGCTCTTGGTAAATCACTGCAGGCCCTGGATTTATTGGGAAAACCTGCACCAAGCAAAATAGGCTTTAGCTATTTGAAGAGGCTAAGCACCCTTGTCTGCGGAGAGGAGCTTTAACACTTTCCTCTCCAGGTGTTATTGTCTCCACTTTCTGTCCTTGGGCCATCCTCCTGGAGCACGCTGGAGCTTTGGAACTCTGGGCTGCAGGATGTGGTGTCTCACATTGTCACAAGGCTCAGGCCTTCTCTACCTGAGGCCCTCCTCTACCCACTTGGGTGGGACACCCTGGAAAGGGGCTGGGAGACGGCTGCTTTTGTGATCTGACCACACCCTGAGGCAGGCTGCAGCTTCCAGGAAAGATGCCTATAGTTGTCCTTTCCTCCTGGGACAGGGTCTCCTTGGAAATGGCTGATGATACCCCCCCCCCCCCCCCCCCCCCCCCCCCCCCCCCGCCCCTGCCCCGTCCCATCAGTGAAAGGGTCTGATGGGAGGAGAACAGAGGCAGGCATGAAGGGCACTATTTTCCTCTCTAATCCTTAGGTCAGTGTTAGGCTGGAATGGAATGTCGTTGGCCTCAGGGAGTTGGATGGAGTCCAGTAAATCCCTGGCAAAAAGCTTCTGTGGGGCCCAAAGGGGGAAGCACAGGGTCTTGGCTCCCGGTCAGTTTGAGCAGGTGCAGCAGCGGCTCTCGGGGCCATGTGGCTTTGCTGTGAGCCATACTCACAGCCCAATGAGGAGTCTTGGTTTTGGAGGTGTTTTTAACTAGCTGATTTCTATATCCAGAAAGGGCAGAAGTGGATGGGTTTAGATTGCCAGTAAGAATTCACCCCTGCCAGGGAGTACCTAGGGTAGAATCAAGCTCTCTCTGGGAATGGTTCTCATCTGTCTAGAATGGGCTGAGTCTGGCCTGCAGAGGGAAAAATGGATGCAAATAATTAAACTTCCCACTGTCCCAGGGGATTGGGTGGTAGACAGAGACTGGGGCAGGAGTGGCAGAAGAGAAGGGGTGTAAATCTTCTCTTCCCATGTCACCCAGGTGGAGCCTGGTGGCTCCGATAGACTCTTAGCATCTCAGGGTCTCTTCTGGAAGTAGCTTGGAGCCCTTTGAGCAGAGGGAGCTTTTTTCCCAAGACTGGTGTCACTCCCCACAAGGGATTCTTGGCTCCAGGCTGGAGAGGAACAGCCAAATGCTGTGGAGTACTTAAATGTGTAGAATCACAAAGAAATGACTCAGCAGGTTGTGGTTTGTTTCCCCGATCAACAGGGGGCCAGGAGAACAAGAACACAGTCCGGTAGTCTGCCTTCTGGCGCAAAGTCCAGATGACACAGCCAAACTGGGAGGTTGGCCTTCTTAGGCAACCTTTTAAGGTCCCTCTTGATTCTGGAATTCAGTGATAAGTTGACTCAACAGTCACCACATCTCTTCCGGTTCCTTGGTTTTCCCGTGGGTGTATGGGGCAGGTGGTGCGGTGGTCCACAGAGCAGGTGGGGATTTCTGCCCATGTCCCCTTTTTTGGGGGGGGGCGTGAGGAAGGAGACATGTGGGCACCTTGCTCTCTGACCTCTGCCCTTTCTTACTGCTGGAAGGAGCTTGGGGTGGCATCCTTTCTACTCTCCGCCAGGACCTTCTGATTTCAGGGGAGTTATTCTGGGGATCAGGGCAGTTCCTGAGCTGGCTGGCTGGTTCTGTCTTTGGGCCCTGTGACTGGGCTAGCTACAGAAGAAACTTCACTAATTAAAACATCAGGCTGCTGACAGCCACCCCCCTCCCAGTCAGACTGAGCATCAAAAGGAGTTCTGTTGATTAGCGTGGCCCCAGGCCAGTGCTGGAGAGTGCAGATAAGCTGGGAATGGGCAGCTTCAGATCTACTTTTTTGATTTTGCTCTGACTCCGAATTCTTTACCTTATATAATCATATGACCAACATGGTATTGTTAAAGGAATTTAGAAACTCATCCATGGTGCCCCTCTAATATACCAACTGCTTAAAAATCTGTTCTATTTCCTGTCTGCCTGTGTACAGATTTCCCTTGTTAGAGATTGTAAGGTAAACACGATTTAGACTTTGCTTCTTTAACTATCCAGTATTCCATGCTATCATGCAGTGTTTCTACTTAAAAATAAGAAGTTTACTTTCCATCACATAAAAGTCATACTTCTTAATTATTGAGAAAATGGAAAATATAAAGCATTTGAAAGGAAAAAACCCTTCACCTTTAGTCTCAATTTCTCAGAAGAGACAGTTATTTAAAAAAAAAAAGTTTAAATTTTATTTTGGGGGTGGAGGGCAGAGAGAGAGGGAGAGAGAATCCCAAGCAGGCTCCACACTATCAGCACAGGGCCTGACACGGGGCCTGAAGCAGGGCTCAAGCTCATGGTTTGTAACATCCTAACCTGAGCTGAAATCAAGAGTCGGATGCTTAATTGACTGAACCATCCTAGGCACCCCTGGAAGAGACCATTATTAACATTTGGCTTTTTTCATTTTAGATTTTTTTCCTGTGCAGAGTCACGTGCATGACTCTTGTGCAGAGTCACGATCATATTACACATTTAAATTTACATCCAGCTTAAAAAAAAAAAAAAAAGAAGCAGAGCGTGAGCATTTGCATATGATTACACACTGGAGTCACTTTTAACAGGTCTGTCACATGCTGGACCACATCTTGTGTTTTTCTGTTTAAATGGATCATTCCCACTTTTGCTGCAATGAACGCACCTAGCTTGGGTGGCTGTGTGGCATGTCATGATTCATGGAGTCCTGTGCTTATTGTTGGGAGTCCAGTTTGACTCCAGTTTCTTTGCTGTCACTGTCTATGCTACCATACTTTTTGTGCTTTAAAAAAAGTTCTCTGGCTCCCCAGTAGCCTGAGGAGGATGTGGCTTGGTGCGCTTAGGGCTTAGCTGCATGGGACAGGTGCAAGGCCCCGGAGACCTCCGCCCCCTTGCAGGGAGGGAAGGCGAGGCCCAGGGAGGACGGGGATGTGGCCTGCCAGCCTGTAGCTGTTTTCCCTATGCTGCATGGCTCTGTTTGCTCTTCGTCCAGGCAGTGCCAAGGCCAGCTGTGGCAGCTGTGGCTCCCTTGTGGTGCAGAACAGGAGCCTGTGAAGAGCTCCGGCTAATGGAACATGGATTTTTTTTTTAAGGGTTTGGAAGTTAGATTCCAGCCTCTTAATGGTCTCTCCACCATTCAGATTGCTGGGCTTTTGGAACATTCTCAGGTAATAAGAGTAACACTAGCAGTAATAGCTGATACTTACATAGTAATTATATGCCCAGGGCAATATCCTAAGTATCATAACACGACAGTGGCTCTAAGAGGAAGATGTTATCCTCCTTTTATAGATGAATAAACTGAAGTGTAGGAGGTTTTGTCCAGTGTTAATATAGAGAAACGTGGAAGAGCCAGGATTCGGTCCAGGCGACCTGAACCCAGAGCTCACACCCTTCACCCTATATTTTCCTGCCTCTCAATAAACCTGGGTGTGACCTGGGTGGTGAGCCATCACTACAAAAGCAAACAGAGGAAGAGAGGCCATCTGCTCGGGGTGTGGTGCTCTGGGGTTTATAAACCAGTTCGGACATGCTTAATGTCTCTGCTTGAACACTTTCTGTGGTCCTAGAGCATTTATTGAGCACCTGTTGTGTGCCAGGCACATGGGAGCATTATCTGTCACAGATGTCTGTCGGATGTGCATTTTCTAGTATCCCCCGAGTTCTTTACCTGTCTCTGGCTCTGGGAGGCCATGTCAGCCACCAGGAGCGGGGAGGTCTGGCTGTGTCCAGAAAATGTCCTGAACTGAGTTTTGTTGGGGGAGAGCAAGGAGGCAGAAGTCCTTGTCCTTGGAGGTGAGCTCATGGTTAAAGGTGGGGGTGGGACAAATAGAAGCACCTGGAAAAAACAATGCAGACGACATTGATATAAAAACCTATGCTTACACGACTACAGATTGACCAAGTGGCCCTGAGACTGCTTCTCGCTAACTGCAATGTTGTAGAGGTTGGCATCTCTTTTATTTCCCAGAACAAATAATTTTAAAGACTTGCCTTATGGATGGAGCTTTTGCAAGCAGCAGGGATATGCGTGATGTTCATGTGTACATCTCCTCCTCTGTACCCCTTCCAGCTCTCAGGAGGGAGCTAGGAAATGGGAATGAGCTCTTAGCTAGAATTGTTGCCTGATGGGAAAAGCGAAGCTGTGCACATCCAGGGGGATGCCGAGGTATTTAAGGAACTCAGGGAAGGTGGAGCTTGTCTGGAAAGACTTCCTGCGGTGGGTCTCTAATCTCTGTCCCCTGCTAAGAGAAATCTGGCACCTTGAGTGGGTCAGCCCCTAGGATCCCAGGACCTACTTTCTGGGGGCACCTGTGGTGACACCCACACAGACCTCTGTGACAGGTGTAGGCAGGCCCTGCAGCCACACCCCCGAAGAGCATGTTTTGTTGTTTGCACTCCCTCCCATGGGGTTATCCTGGGACTGCCGTGGTTGCACACTGTTGGGAGCTGGGTATATGGGAGCGATGTTAGCACGCCTTTCTCAGGTGAAGGACTACTTTCCTCACCCTGTGCGTCTTTGTGAGGAGTGCAGGACTTCAAGTTTTAATAGTGTGAGAAACCAGGAGACATCAGCCAGAATGGGGAAGAATGAGCAGTGTCTACATTCAGCACCTGTGGGATCTTTAGAAATACGTTCAAAGAATGCCAGAGGGCTTCTTTATCCCAAAGCAGCCCCCCTGCAGCTGCCTGTGCTTTCACCATCAGCGGTTCATTCTAATAAACACTCTTTCAACAGCCAGACGGGGAAGTACCCAGTCCTCAGTCCCCACCATGAGTGTGGCTGGGTAGCAGCGAGAGCTGGTTCCGGGGGCTGGGTGTGGGGTGCTGGGATGATTTAAAAAAAAGAAAAAAAAGGTTAAAAAAATCCCTCTTTCCCCTAAACCTCCTGAAAAGTGGGTTGGGGCATGTGGAGGATAAACTCTGCTGTCTGTACAAGGATGCCATCTGGGCCTGGGTCTCACACAGGGACGTTATAGATAAACTATTGAGAGCTAATACATGCCCCGCCCCCTGCTGGTCCTCGCACATTCCCTCCTCTGACCCAACCAGAGTAAGCCAGATGCTTCTGCTGCTGATGGGGTGACCAACATCCTGGTTTGCCTGGGACTGGGGCAACCCTCTTTTGCCCCCAAACTCAATTTTAAGGAAGCACAGATAATAGGAACCGTATCTGTGGGAGTCCATGAAGCCTCTTTGGGAGCCAGTGTAACTAACTATGCCAGGTCGTTCACTCTTCCCCGGACACTCCATTGCGACTTGGACATTTAACTCAGCTCCCCAACGGGCCTCTTTCCCTAGGTAGGTGTTGCAGGGACCTGGAACTGAACAGCACTGAACCAGCCACAGCTTCACGGCCACTGACCCTCTCCTTCTCTTTCAGACAAGCTTTGCCTCCTACAAGCGTTTGCTGGGCAGGTGCGCTTCCTGAGTGGCCGTGCAGTGCTTGATGTCACAGAACGTCTGTCCGGTGAGTGTCCCCAAAGCTCCTCACCCTAGCCTTCCAGTCCATCTCTGTTCTTCTCTCCCGGCATGTAGAACCACCCACTATCTTAGACCCCCAAATAATCAAATAATCCTCGCAGATCTTTAAAAAAACTTGATAATCTGCTTTTTATAAATAATTCCCACCTTATCCAAAGGTAATCTTCATTTTTGACCACAATGGGGCAGGTTTGTACATAAACAAAATAGCTTTTAAGAAACTATTATGGGGGCACCTGGGTGGCTCGGTTGGTTAAGCATCTGACTTCGGCTCAGGTCATGATCTCACAGCTTGTGGGTTCAAGCCCTGCATCGGGGTCTGTGCTGACAGCTCGGAGCCTGGAGCCTGCTTCAGATTCTGTCTCCCTCTCCCTCTGCCCCTCCCCCACTCTCACTCTGTCTCTCTCAAAAATAAACGTTAAAAAATTAAAAAAGAAAAGAAAATATTATGCATTTCTTCTTTGCAAACAGGACGTCCACTAAGCCATAGGGTACCTTTGTGTGAATCAGAAAAAAACAAAAAACAAAAAAACCACCTCTTCTGGGTAGATCTTGCCTCCCAGCTACATGGCTTGGTCAGCGGCAACACTGTTGTGAGAATTAGCGTTGTCTCTTTTTGGGCACGCACAGGCTGGAAAGCAGAGCACAGGCTGGATTTCAACCCTCCTTGATGCTTGCGCCAGGTGCCCGGGGGCTGCACTACATGGGATTTGGGGCCTTGGCGGGCGTCTGCTCTGCTGTGTTCAAGCTTTGGCCGAAGAGAGCTTTGCTCCCAGGCGGTGTCTTCTTTGAGTCTGCCGTCTCCAGTGATTCCGTTCCAGGTCTGAAACCTCCAGGGACGTGGGAGGAGGCAGCACGGGGAGGACCTAGGCCTTTGTGGTTGTACCGACCTGTTTGCCACGTGCCGATTCTGCTCTTGGGCAGGTTATTTAACTTGGTTTTATAATCTTCCGTGCTTACCAAAAGCCTCCCCTACCTTCTTGGGAAGGAGGCGGAAGGGCTCTGTTCTCCAGACCTCTGAGCGCCCAACCTCTACAATGCAGACAGGCTGTGCTACCCCCGTGCTTGAGTCGTTGTGTGGGTTGTCTTCAGGACAGTGTCGAGGCTCCCTGGAGTGGCCTTCCAGGCTCTCGCCTCCCCCTCCCCCAGTTACACGCACTGGATCATCGAATCCTCCTAACAACCTCGTAAAGAGGCTGTGGGTGCCATGATTATCCCTTTTGTAGAAGTAAGGAAAGTGGAGCTCGGAAAGGTTAAGTGCCCAAGGTCCCTTGGCGAGCAATCTGGGCTTTGTCCCCAGGAGCCTAGCCACAGAGCCTCTGTGCTGTGCTGTGCTGTCTCTCCCTGAGTGCCCTCCCTGAGTGGCACCAGCATGCCACCAGCCTTGCTGGGGCTGATCTCCCATCCTCTGCCCTGTCCTGCCCACATGCGGCTCCCGTCCTGCAGAGAGAGCCCTTCTCCACCCTTCTTCCTCCACCTGGGTGGTGCTGGCCTGGTTCTGGCATCAACTTCTGTGTCCCCTTCCTCCCTACCCCCCTGCTTGAGTTTCGTGAGCCTCTCAGGAGCATGTCTCCCCACCCCCCCACCCCGTGACAGCCTCAGTCCGCACTGGGGGTGCTCAGCACACATTGCCTGGCTGAGGACGTCATTCAACTCCTCCACAGCCCTGTCCTGCTCTTGGCCTTGCCTCTGTGCCCTGGTTCAGCCCTTTTAGTGTCCCTGGAGTGGACCCTTGGCTTCCACCCAGGTGATAGGCCTTCTCCAAGCAAAGTAGGGCGGGGGGCTGAATGCAGCCACGGTGTCATGTTGCTGGTGCCCAGGAGCCCCCTAACTGAGACCACCTGGGTGCCAGACAAGGAACCCTTTTCTGTTGCTCAACATCAACATTCTCTGGGTGAAACCCTTACCTGTCCTTGTGTGAGTGATATATGGGCCCCGGAGGTGGATGGCTACCTCACTTTAGATCCTCCATTTGACTGTAAATATTTTCCATCTGTCTCCAAGAGACCTCAAAAGCAAGAGTTTCTACGTAGCTCTCCCGTTAAGTCAGGCCCAGACAGGAACAGAGAAGAAAATTTCAATTGGCACAAGGTGTGGACTAATAATAGCACAGCTTAACAGGAGTAAATCTTTTGCTAATTACTTCAGCTGCCTTTTAAGCTCAAAATTTAGTGGGGTTTTCTTCCCCGTGATGACTCCCAGAAGGGCCATCGCTGCCTCTGCCCGCTTGAGAGGCCCACCACCATCAGCCAGGTGACCTCCACCTTCTGTGCCCGGGGAACGTGGACCTGACTGCAGAAGTGAGCTTCCTGGGCTCAGCTGTGAAGGCCTCGCTGCTGGGAGGGAGAGAGGTCAGGTGTGAGTGCAGCCTGCCGGGGGCCGCGGCCAAGTGACGCGGGGCAGGTTGGGGGCAGGTGAGCCCCTCACCCTTGGGTGGGCACAGGGGAGCCCTACCTGCACCTGGTTCTTGGGATAGCCGTCTCCTCGGTTTGCAGGTGAGATCCCGTGGAGGTCTAAAAAAGACTCTGAGTTATACTTGTTCAGTATAACTTGCCTCCCCCCACCTTAGGGTTGCCCCCGTGGCTTTCCTGTTAACTGTGGCCTCCTTCTCAGTCTGTCTCTGGCTTCGAGGGCTGTCTCCAGCTCCCACCTCTCTGCCCCACTTTATGAGGCTGCTCACCCCCAACGTGGCTGGCTTGAGTCAGTGGGTGCCGTCCTACCTTGCCTGGGAACGAGGACTGCCTTTCTTTCTGAGGGCTCTGTGACCTTGGGGAGCCCCTGAGAGGTCCCACAGTGTGGGGTGCGGGAGCCCTGGGGGTGTGGCCTGAAAGCCAACGTAGATGCTCCATGGGAAATGGCATGGCTCAAGTGCCAGGCCGAGCTGAGGGGGCCAGCTCATCCTCTCTGGTCCCCTGTTGTCCGAGGCTTGCTCTGGAGTCAGAGGGGTCCTGTGGGAAATATCCTGGGGGGTCGGATGATGTTAAGCTGGTGAAGGAAGGACAAACTGAGGTTTCACTAAAAATGAAACAAAACACACCAGCCTCTGAAGAACTCCAGGAGGATGGGGACAGTGGGGGGTAAAGAGCATGAGCCGTGGAGTTGAGGCGGGCTTGACCTTTGCCCTCCGCCCTTGTTAGCCACGTGGCCTTGGGCAGGTTCCTTGACCCCTGAGTGTTGGCTTCCTCCTCTGCAGGATGGGCTGGTGTCCTGCCTCTTGAGGTGCTGTGAGAACAATGGAGTCATGCTGCAAAGCTCTGACCCCCAGACTCAGGACTGAGGCAGTGTTAGGTTTCTGGGTGTGTGTTGGCCCAGGGAACCTTCCAGTTGCTTTGCTCCATAAATAAGTAAAGTGCTTCTCTCGGCGTTGTTTGCCCTCACCAGCCCTTCTCCTCGGCAGGATGACAGGCGGACCGCGCTGTGTAGAGCAAGCATTGTTAGAACCGATGCACTCAGGGTAATGGTGGCTGTGGCTGACGGCTGGAGCAGTGGCTCTGAAGTGACTTGGGGTAGCTCTTGAGGTGGTCTCGACCCCGGCATTTAGTCTGACAGAGGGCTTGCTGGCAGGGGTAGCCTGCTTCTTGGATTTCTGGGGATTAAAAAGGGTAGAGAGGCTGGGATAACCCGATTTCAGGGGTTCGTCACTGAATCATGGGTCTGTGCAGAGCTTGACGGTTGAAAAGCACGTTCAGGCCTCCCGGATTACTGCTGGTCTTATTGTGAGGTTTGGTGTCCAGACACTGGGGAGGCCACACTGGGCTTATCTCCTGCTGCCTGTTTCATTTTTCAGAATGCTTCATTTGAGAGAATGTTGGTTTTCCTCCCTGGTACAAGTTTTTGTTCGTGTGAAGTCACATAGGTGGGAATGTGGATTAAAGTGACACTAGTCCTAGCTACTCTTTGTCACCTGCCTACCTACCTGGGCACCTCACGTACATGTATTATCTAAGCTCTAACAGTCCTAAGAGTTTGGTTCAGGATGATTATCCTTAGATTAGGGAACAGCCTCAGAACGGTTAGGTGGCTTTCTCAAGTCATACAGCTAGTAAATAGCAGAGGCAGTTTTGCAGTCTGGCCCTGTCTGCCTCTTTCCTCTCCCCTGGGCTGCAGGGACCAGTGACGACTGTCATGGGCTCTGAGCACTTTTGTTTTTACATACTCATTCCTCCATTAAAAAAAAAAAGTTAAAAATTTTATATTACAACTGATTGGTATAAACATGAATATAAATCAGGCTGGATATCTTCATATTTTTTTTCCTCTGGATTTTAAAGAAATAAGAACATTTCCAGGGCCCCTCCACATGTCCTGAGCCCTAGGTCGTGTGTCTGATGGACTAGTTGGCCCTTCTGGGCTGCCTGCCCTTTGGGGGATAGAACTGGTGTCCCAAGAGAGGGCAGGGAAACACAGAGAGAGAGAGAGCAAGCCTGCCTTGAGTAACTCTCCCTCTTTTCTGCCCAACAGTGCTGGTGGCCTCTGTTTACCCCCAGAAGCCCCAGGCCGTGGAGCGTCAGGTCCTTCCGGTCCTCTGGTATTTCCTGAACAACATGACGGGGAACGGTGTCCTGCCTGGGCATGGCAGGAACGTCCGCGTGGCGGTGTGCCGGCTGTCCAGGGGCCTCCAGGAACAGATGGGCTCCCGGCTGCGGCACCTGGCTGCTGGCCAGCCAAAGCAAGTCCTCAAAATGCTCCAGGAACTCTTAGACACAGAATCCCGGTGAGGCAGCCCCAGCCAACGTCACCGACAGAGGGGTGGCATCTGACAGCAAAACAACTGGCAGCTCGTGCCCCTTTCACCTGGGTTACAAACGGATCTGAAATGGGCAGTCATTATTTTTTATCTTACTTGATTTTTATGATGGAACAGTCTCCCGGCCGACTTTCTCTTAGAGTTCCAGATGCACATAGTATATTTTGAAGTAGGAATAAAGGAATTATTTATTTTTCTAAGGCTTTATTATTGTGTGCTTTTTTAACCTCAGGGAATTTTTCAATAACTAGGCTTGTGACAAAGAAAACAAGACAACAGCAAAATCAGCTGCAGATGACATCGAAACGAAGAGATGGGGAGAAAAAGGGTAGCACAGACCCCTGTGCTGCAGACCCTTTTGGCCACGGCCCCCTATCTGTGACAGACTGGACAAGCCCTCCTGAACCCAGAGACCCTGAGTTGGCCATTTAAACCCAGTCCGTTTGTTATAAGCCTGATTTGAGGTGAGTAGGGCAAACATCTCCAGGGTCATCCTGATCCTGTGGGAGGCTTCCTTTTTGTTTTTTCTTTTTTTAAGTTTATTTATTTTGAGAGAGAGAGAGAGAGAGAGAAAGGGTATAAGTGGGGAGGGGCAGAGAGAGAGGGAAAGAGAGAATCCCAAGCAGGCCCTGCATTGTCAGCACAGAGCCTGATGTGGGGCTCGAACCCATGAACCATGAGATCATGACCTGAGCCGATATCATCAAGAGTGGGACACTTAACCGACTGAGCCACCCAGGTGCCCCTCTGTGGGAATCTTCTAATAGATCTGTCCAGCTTCTCAAAAGGCAGGGGGAGTTTGACATTTGCATTACTAAAAGCCTTCTCAGCAAGATGGCATTCTGACTAGTTCTGCCGAGGGTCAGATGATGTTTCACACTCAAAATACCATAAATGAAAGCACTTGGCTAAGCATAAAGCTACATGATGTGCAGATGTCGTGTGGGAGCTCTGAAATTACATGGGTTCCTCCACTGGGGGCTGGATCGGGAAGCTGGAGGGGTGTGTTGGGTACAGGATGCGCCAGAACACAAGCTGAGAGAAAGTGTTGCCCACTGAGGGAGCAGCCAGGGAAATGGGGTCCTGCAGGGAGAGAGGGACGTCTGGGGCTGGGGCCCTAGATGCAGTGAGAGTGGCTTTGCCTTGCCTGGGGCCACTGGCAGGTTGGCAATACTGTGACCAGGAGGAATTAGAGCTCAGGTCATTAACTCAAACACACGTATAAGGTGTGAGCCGAAGGGGCAGCATCCCATCCCAGCCAAGGAACCCAGCCAGACCCATAGCAACACTCTGGGCAGATCCAGATGGCTGAGGCCCTGAGGCCCCAGCCTCCTGCCTGCAAGTTTTCTGGCAGAACCCCAGAGGTGGACCCCGTCCAGTGTCACCCACCTCAAGGCATAATATCGGTTCTACATCACGGTTCCAAGCCTCTCCCGAGGGGAATGGCCCAGAGCTGGCTGGGCAGCCCTGAATCAACTCACTTATATGTTTCCATGTTCATGGGTATCCCTGAGAAAGCCACTTTTTCATCTTGCCTGTGTGGCCAGATACAGCAAGGCCGGCTCCTACCCCCCCCAATGCTCTAGGGTGAGGTTGGGTATGGTACAATCATCCCGGGACTCGCTTTTAATATGTGGCTTAAGTGTGACTTTAAGTAATTCTAGCCCCAGCAGGAGCTGCTTCTCGCTAATTGTGACCCCAGCAGGGGCTTCCCAGCAGCCACTTCCCTGGCTGATTCTGACTGAAGCAGGTTAAAGGCTTGCTGGACAGGGAGTCATGAAAGATGCCTAAGAGGCTGATTTTTAAACATTTTAAAGTTTTACACAATTTAATTAATTGTGTTTGCTTGGAGTCTGAGCAGACTCTTTGGGTTTGGTCGGGAGACTGACATTTTCTGCTTGCCAAGATCCTAGAACCTGTAGGAGCCCAAGGATGTAGAGTCTGGCAGGGACTTTGAAGGCGGAAATTAAGCTCAAAGGCATCGTCCTCTCTTCCCGCTTTGAGGTCCTGTTTTCCAAGGACGTCTTCAAAATGGAAGCCTCCCATTCCCTGTGCTCTGTATCCACTGTCCTGGGTGGAGAGTTTAAAATAACTGAGAACCGCTGAAAAGCAACAAATAACTGCAAGGTTCTACTTTCCTCCACTCAATTTTAACTTTAGATCGAGTCTCTGGGCAGCTGGGCTCTGTGGGCAATGCCCCTGACCCAACCCCACTGGGGACGGCCTGGGTGGTTCTCTCAGGGCCTTAGGAAATTTCAGCCTCCAAAGGTTTCCCACATCATTACTCCTTAAAATTTTTTAAATTTCATTTAAAAAATATTTTTTTTAATGTCTATTTATCTTTGAGAGAGAGAGAGAGAGGCAGTGGGGAGGGGCAGAGAGAGAGGGAGACACAGAATCTGAAGCAGGCTCCAGGCTCTGAGCTGTCAGCACAGAGCCTGACTTGGGGCTTGAACTCACCAGCCACAGGATCATGACCTGAGCTGAAGTTGGATGCTCAACCAACTGAGCCACCCAGGCACCCCTCCCACATCATTACTTTTAAAACAGGGAAGACAGCATATTAGCCTCGGTCTGTCGGGAGTGCGTGCGGGAAGGAGGCCCTAATGGATGGTCAGTGGTGGGAAATGAAGATTGAGAGCCACCCCATTCTTTGCTTGGCTGTGTGTGCAGCCAGGAGCCCTACCTCCTGAAGATGTGCTTGGGGTGGGAATATAGCTTCTAGTTATGCAAGGGCCCCTGTCTCCCTCCAGTGTAAGAATTAAGGACTAGACTTGACTTGTATCTGCTTAGGACTTTCTGGGACTTTAGGAAAAGCTGCCTACAGGCCCTGCTTCTCATCTTGTTTTCTCTTCCCTGATTGATGTCGGGATCCCACCACTAGGGATTTTGATTCACTTGGTATGGGGTGGGGCCCAGGGCACGGTCTTTTCTTTCTTTTTCTCCCCCTCGGCTTTATTAGGATTTAATGGACATATAACATTGCGTGAGTTTAAGGTGTACAATGTGTTGATTCGATACATTTATACATTGCAAAGTGATTACCACCATAGCCTTACCTAACACTTCCATCCCATGGCATAACTACTGTTTCTTTTTTGTGTTGAGATGTATTCTCTTAGCAGCATTCAAGTATATGATACAGAATAAGTGGCTATAATCACCATGCTGTTCATTAGGTCCGGAGAATTTGTTAATCTTACAACTAGAAGTTTGTATGCTTTGATTACCGCCGCCCC